AAGCTGGTTAAACGCTTTGTTAGAAGAAAAGGTTGATGTCGTTTTTAAACATAGTCCCCATTGAGGACTATCCACTTGGTCCAGCGAGTTTCTAAATTTTCTTTCTCTCAGAAAAAGAGGTCTTCAAAGGCTGAAAAATATGAACTGACGCGAGTAATGACGTTCTCATTTAATGAGAACTTTTTCCGACAGAGTCAGATTTCTCAAGTTCGGGAACACGGATAAAACAGACGACGCCATATCAGAAGAATGGGGTGGATGAAGAATCAACTCGAAACCCAATTCTTCCAATTTTGCCATTGTAACGGTCAATTCGTGGGAGAGCGCGTTGTCTTGGTGAATGAACAGTCTGGTACCAACACCTCCTAGATCACAAGGCCGTAGTGCTGATAATTTTTCGTCACAGAAGAAGGCCGATCGCGGGCGGTGATTGGATACGAGCGCTGCGTCCGTCTCTCTGATTAGACACGAGACGCTGACGCAGCCCTCGCGTCCAATCACGGCCCGCGATCGGCCTTCTTCTGTGGCGAAAAATTATCAGCACTACGGCCTTGTTATCTAGGAGGTGGTGCTGGACCTGCTGGTACCCATCGCGCACACAGCTTTTTGTAGAGGGTTTTGTGCACACGTTATTTTGAGATGCCTATGGTCTCAGCAGTCTTGTGCACATTCACTCGACTGTCCTCCAATTAATATATTATACATTTATTCAACAATATCCGTCGTGGTGGCCTCAACTCGGCGTCCGGAGCGCGCTTCATCTTCAGGGAACGTTCTGCCTCGTTTAATCCAATGAACCCAGAACTAAACAGCCTTCAGCGTTGAGTAAGGGTCCCCATGAACTTCATGCAACTCGGTTTTGATACGCGGACGTTAACATTTTTAAAACAAACGTGCTTGATCATTGCATAGGGCTGTTTTTTTTTGTTTTTTTCCGTTGTTGTGGCAAGCGCTACAGTGTTCGCTTCAACCGTCCGTCAAACATGAACAGCGCTTCGCTCCCGTCTGGAAGCTAGTCTGTGTTAGTTTGAAGAATGACACTTGCCAGCCATGGCGTCATCCATTGAATTGTTTATCGTATAAATTTACCAAACTTATCAAACGACCCTTGTACTTGCGAGCTGTACAGGAAGCAAAATGACGTGGAACAAAACGGAAAGAAGTTCGAATCCGGAAGCGCGCAGGGGTTCGCCAATAGTGGACTCCATAGTCTGTGACAGCTCAAGAGTGCAGTGGAAGCTCCACTTCCAGCACGAACTTTGTGGCCTTGATAGCACAAGTGTGCACGCGCAGCCAAAGCGCGGCGGTAGGCAAGGAGCGCGCGCTGAAGGCGGAGCTTCCACTGCACTCTTGAGCTGTCACCCACCATAATGAGCTTGTTTACAAACAGACAAATAAATAGCTGGCGTGAAAATTCCACCGTATTACGGCCAAAGCTATAATTGTATCTTTTTAGCAACCACGCGAAATAAAAGCCCGGGGTAATCACTTTGGATGACGCCTCGGCAGCTGCGCGAGCATTCGTGCTGCGAGGATGCCACTCTACGCAGTCAGGGCTGCCGTCTCACGCTAGCGCAGCCTCCGTGGTTAGTCCATGTTAGCGTGAGACTGCGAAGTACTACTGAAAAGGTTGTGCAAGCGCGAGCGGCTAGCCTTGACAAACTCGACTAAAGTACTCTGCCCTAGCGCTCGCGCAGCCACCGAGGAGTGATTCAAAGGAAACGGCTCGCGCCTTTAGTATGCATGGCTAACAATAGTCCATGCTGAGGTGAGACGAAGTTTAGCCTGAGCCAAGGCGCCTTAAGCCGGAAGACCCTCTCTAACAGGCTCCAGTGATAAGAGAAAGCCCAGCCTGAAACAGAGCAACTTTAGCATCGTTTTACCTTATGTCCGATGCACAACCGCCGGTGCGAGGTAGGAAAACGCAGCGGATTCGGCTCGCGCTTCAATACTTCGTCTAACCTTAGCATGGGCTATTGTTGGTCGCGTGCTAAAGCGCGAGCTATTTGCTTTCGACGACACCTCGGCGGCTGCACGAGGGCTCGTGTGGCGCGAACGCCAATCAAGGTTACCGTCTCGCGCTAGAGCAGCCTCTGGGGCCAGTCCATGCTAAGGTGAGACGAAGTATAGCTTTAACTTTCTTCGGTTTAAATTTGGCTTTTTAGCGATGGAGCAATAGACTTGAGCGTTAGCTTATCACTTTAAAATGCACATTGGCTGCGGGAGAAGCAAGCAAGGTCACAGCTGGGCGCTAGGCGCGCCCAGCAGTGACCTTGAGAGGTTCCAAGGTTGTCTTGAGCGTGTTATCAGTGCTATGCCCTTATTCATTACGATGTCTTTTTCCGGATTCAAAGATAATATTGGCGATGCCGGAAACAGAAGGCACATTGGAAATTGGAAAAGTGATTTCGCTCGGGGCTTAGGCGCCACATGTCGTCACGGAATGGAACTAAACCGAATGTCTCGGATTCTTGGCCATGAATTTAGAAGAAAAAACGTTTAAATTGCGTACTATGGTAATTTCAGCATTTGTTTTTGTATCTGCTAACTACCACACACGTTTCTAAGTCGTGAACTTTTGTTTTATCAAGTCACCTTGTATGGCTTTGTTTTGAACAAATCGTACACCAACCTCAACTACAATATATACTATGATCTCAGAGTCCGGTGTTCCTAAAGTATTTACATTTTACTAATTTCAGAAATAAATAAGTGTGACCATTCAGAATGTCCGTGGTATAAGCAAATATATACAACTTTATGTAAACACTTGTGCCAGCCATTCAATTTTTAGGCATGCAGACTGTTTAACACGTTTCCGGGAAAGTCTCACCACAAGAGCTGTTCACCCTTGGTTAAAACCTAAATTTCATCAGTTCATGAATAAATAAACAAAAAATGTGCACCTTCTTGATTTGTGAGTGGTGTGAAGGATCCTTTATGTGGTATTTGTTTGGAAATTTCTCGAGGAGAAATAACTTGCAGCGACAAAACAGGGATACTTTCTAGGGAGGAAAAAATATTACATTTGAGTGTGAGGTTTCTTTGTTTTGTTTTTTTTTTGCTATAAAAACAAAATTTGCCGGAACCTTTATGTCGTGCCACGCTCAGTCCTATATCGGTCATTCGTATAACGGTCGTATAACGTTACGCGGAAAATGTTTTACTCTAACATTTTGCGTGACAAATTTATTTATTTTTTGTAGAGATACTAAACTGTTAATAAAAAAAGTGGACATGCACCAAAACAAATATCATTGTGCTTCAAGATCTGTTTAATTACGTTTCAAACAGACCAGGTGGCGTATTTCAAAAAGCGTTTGCACAAAAAAAAAAAAAAAAAACCTTTACAAGAATTTTTTTAAATCTAAACACAAAATTTGAGCCTTTACGTTTTTGTACATTTCAAATATTAATATACCAAAATAACAACAAAATACATTTATATAAGCGCAAAAATGAAGCCGTAATATATATATATATATATATATACATTACGGCCTGTGGGCCAACAGGATGAATAAATAAATAAATAAATAAATATATATATATAGGTATAGATATAGATATAGATATATATACAACGGGCATGATGGCGGGAGGCCGAAGGCGTGGGTATATAACTGAGAAGAAAAAACCCTTAGCTAAAACAGCAACAACGGACGATTCATTCGTCGACGTTTCGGCCGGAGTCCGGCCTTCGTCAGAGAGTCCGGCCTTCCTGACGAAGATCGGACTCCGGCCGAAACGTCAAAGAATAAATCGTCCGTTGTTGCTGTTTTAACTAAGGGTTTTTCTTCTCAGTTATATACATATATATAACAGTCGGAAAAGTGTACACCCTTCATTATGGATTATCACAGATCGATGGAAACTTGTTTTGTTCCGTAGGTTACCAGTAAAAAAGAAAAGGCATACACGAGAAGCGCATAAGCCAGGAGAAAAGCCCTCTCAAGTGCACTTCTAAAAAAAAAACACAGCATATTAATGCTTGGGCGGTAAAATGACTGAAGTATCATCGGTCTAGGCAAGTTCTTGTAAGAAAACCTGAGACTGGGAGTTATTTCACGCGATAGCGTAAGGCTCCCGTTCAGCGGAAAAGCCGGCGTAGTAGTAGTCGGCGTCCGGCGTGACTTCGTAGGCCACGTGACCCGTGTCGAGTTACCGGGGTCACGGCATCCGGCGTGACCTCGTGGGCGGGCCCCTCCTTTCTCTGAACACTCGGGTCACGTGACCCGGGTGTTGAATGGGATCCCCCTCCCCTTACCCGTCCACCTCCCATCCCCTCCTCCACTACTCCTATCTGACCCCCACTCCTTTCCCCTGCCCTCCACCTCTTGCCCTCCCTTAGAAGCAGTCGGCGGCGGCGTGACCCTTTGGGAGGGCCCCCTCCCCAGCTCCCCTCCCCTCATCCACCCCCTTCCAAGCCCTCCATTCCCCAACCCCCACCCCCTTTCCTTCCTCCCTCCGCCTCCCCTGCTCTTCCGCCCTCCTCCACCCCTGCGCTGACGACCCGGCCTTGCGCGTCATACATATCGCGTCATACACTTAAGGCGGAGACTAATACCCCATTCACACGGGCTGCTAAAGGACCTGTAGCTTAGGTCCCTTAGCTAAAGGTACCTGTATTAAACGGCGTTCGTGATCACACGGCAAATAAACGGAGGGTTTAAGGTTGATGTTTACTGCACCGGGGATAGCCAGGCTAAACCGAGGGGCGAACGAGCAATATATAATATTTTGTCTAAACAGGTTTGAGACACATGCATTACTTTATTAGAAGCAGAATATATCGTTTTAAAACCAATTAATAATTTTGTTTTAATTTTATTGCATGGTGGAGGTAAAAAATCTTTTCTTTAGAATGTCTAGCTGTTATCGAATCCAAATCCAAAAGAGGTACGCGGTCGAGGCAGGTCGAGTGGTCGAGTTGCAGGTGCGAAACGTGGTCCGGTGATCGAAAACTGATGGAAGTGACTGACGGCGACGAGCGTCTTGCGATGGACGATGACGATTGCATGGGCATTTTGTGGTCGCTGCATCAGCGGCGGATCGAATTTAATCAGCTTGAGGAAAGCATTCAAGCCACCGAAGAGGCAGCGGACGAACTCGAGGAGCAGCTTGTGGCGACGAACTTCACTGTCGCCGCTCTTTTGGCTCAACGGTTCACGAGGATCCCTCGCGAGAGGGCAATGTACGTTCGGTCGGGGAGGTGGTTTGAGGAGACGCTGCCTAGGCTGGGCGAACAACACTTTCGTGCCTGCTTTCGTGTGTCCTCAACCACCTTCCAGTACCTCGTGGACGTCTGCCGCTCGTCGATGCAACGGCAAGACACAGCCATGAAAACTGCGATCACAGTGGAAAAAAGAGTAGCCATAAGCCTGTACAGGCTCTGCTCCACGGCGGAGGAACGGACAATCGGCCACGTTTTCGCTGTGGGACAATCGGTGGTAAACGAGAGCTACCGCGAGTTCTGCGACGTTGTAATTCAGGAACTGGAGGCCAGAACGGTTTCGATGGTTAGGAACGAGGACCTCGAGCACCACATGCGCGAATTCCAGGCAGTCCTGGGATTCCCCAACGCCATCGGTGCTCTTGACGGCTGCCACCTGCCCGTGTCGCCGCCGAAAGACTCGGCTGTCGACTACCGCAATTACAAAGGCTGGTGAGCAAACAGTGACACTCGTTTTCTCGGGGTAACTTTGCTCATTTCATATAAAATTACGGGGTTATGAATGCTTTCGCGCGAGCAATGCTGGGCCGTTCAGTGCAATTTGGTCCTTGGAAAAACTAAGCAATTTTAATAATTCGTGCCTCAAACATACGGATAAACCAAAAATATACGCTGGTGCAGTTACACCAGGGACCATTCTCGTTTTCTTCAGCATTACAGACATGATGTCACTGCACTCGCGGACAACTTTGTGTGTTGAAACGAAGGGAGGAGGAAAGCATGTGCGAAATGATGAACGCACCCTCTCCTTACAGACTTAATAGCCACAGAAAGTTGCCCGTGGGTGTCGGGCACCCATGATGGCTGTGTCAATTTCGCTGCCTGTGCTTGAGAGGCTCTCTTGAACAAAAAGTTGCAATTTCAGGAGCACACAATTTAGCTAGATCTGTTGCATGCAGTACTGCTGCTGTTCCTTGCTAACATGTGGTCACTTTGTTTTAGGTACAGCGTCATCCTGTTGGCGTTGGTGGACCACAGGTACCTTTTTCGGTACATCAGCGTGGGCTCCCCTGGCAAGTGCCACGATGCCAATGTGTATGGGCGATCCCCGTTGGGGCGTCTGCTCGAGGACTACCAGGTGGCTGTGCCAAGAACCATTGGTGGCACAGAAATACCACCTATCGTCCTTTGTGATCAGGCATTCCCCCTCACCAGGAACCTAATGAAGCCCTTCCCCCACAGTTTAAATCACCCTCAGGACGAAGGCGACTTCAACTACGCCCTCTCCAAGGCCAGGCGTGTTGTGGAGAATGCGTTTGGGCGTTTGAAAGCTCGATTCAGAATCGTCCTCAAGCGAATGGAGGTTCGCATCGACAATGTCAACGCCGTCGTCCGAGCGTGCTGCATACTGCACAACGTCTGCGAGACGCTCAACGACAGTGCGGACAAGCAGTGGATCCAGGACGCCCGGAAAGTGGAGGAGGATGACAAGCTGGAGCAGCCGAGCCGCAAAACCAAGGCCAAGACGGACAGTGGCACTGCGGTGCGCACTGCACTTGTTGCCTATTTTGGTGCTAACCCACCCCCCAAGCGCAACCAAGCTTCAGCAGAGGCACTGTAATTTGTTCAGCGTTGACCTTTCCCTGGCAGGCAAACTGTGCTTGCATTTAGGATGTTTCACCTCAGTCGAACTTTGCATAGAAAGTTCAAGAAAGCTGAACCTTGTCAGGTTCACGACATCCCTACAAACAAGTGTCCTAATTCTCCACAGGTGTAGTAATAAGCAAGGAACCAATCTTTTTTTTTCTACCATGATTGCCGATATTGATGTGTCTCTTTGAAAGAAAGGTATTTTACTGAATTTTGGTGTAGTCGCATGTGATGCACATCTTTAGGATAATAGTATTGTACCCACATTTCATCATCAACTCACTCGAACCTTTAGAAAATACTAGTGGGTCTGACGTTTATCCCAAACAATTTGTGTTTGTCCCGCCTTGATCAAAACGTCTGCAATTGGGTTTAAGGCCGAACAACGATCAAAGCAAGCATTGCATGCCAATGCTTGGAACCCAAACTCAAATAAAAAGGAGGCTATTTCTTAGCATTTACTTTTTTACTTTTGAGCTTTCGATTTTAGGAACTGGAGGAACTCTCGCTGCAGGTCATTCGATTCCTGCATGATTGCGAACTGGCGCTGCCGGTCCCTGTGAGTTCTTTCCCTCGCTTCTCGAAGTTCTTGTCTCTGCGCCCTCTGCTCCTCGAGGACCAACATGACGAGGTCTGCCTGTTTGCAGGAAGACTTTTTTTTTTTTTCTGTTGTGGTTCCACTGCAAGTTCTTCAGGAGGATCCACCGTCTCCTGTGACTCCTCAGGAGAGATGTCTTCAGGTTCCTGATAAAAACCAATGAGTGCTCATCAGAAGGGCCCATGACTTAAAGATACATGCATAACTTAAAGAGGATTATGCAACGATATTTGGTTTGAATGTTTTTCACTTTGTGCAAGAATACTAATCTTACCTTAATAATCTTACCTTTTCATATCATGTTACACAAATTGTTGCTTCTGCCTTTAGAACAATGGGGATGATATCACGTTTGGTCGCATGATTTTTCAAATATAATGTGCGTAGTTCGATTGTTTTGTTCCCTTGTACGAGTTAAACTTGAGTTTTGTAGTTCAGTGTGGAATTCGCTAACAACGACCGACGCTGCACGGATAGAAAGAGTCCAGAAGCGATTTATACGCCTTGTTTACGATAGATATTTTGATTATGAATACCTTCTTAAAGAACTTTCACTCCAGAACCTTTCAAAAAGAAGGATTGCTCGTGACATTATATTTTTATACAAAATGGTTCACGGCCAAATTGATAGCAATCTTGTATCGTCTTTGAACTTTCATGTACCGGCCCGAGTCGTTAGAAACTCAAGCGTGTTTTATAGATCTATCCAAACGAGACCGTCACCTTTGGCTAGAATGCAAATTTGTTTAAATGACTTTCCGATTCATGTAGACATATTTTTAAATTTTGCTGCGTTCTAACGACTACTTGATATGCATATTTTTGGTTTATGATTGTGAAATGTTTTAATTTCGAGAGCATATGTCGGGGGGGGGGGGGGGGGGGGGGCTTGAGATTGTGTACTGTTTTAGGTGTTCTTTTTTTTTCTCTTTTTAAACTTTTTATGTGCCACCACACTGTAACCAATAGGTTGTTCTGGGGCATTATACAAATAAAGGATTATTATTATTATTATTATACTGTCCCTAGCATGACCTAAGGATACTCGAACGACAAGTCATGACTCCAGAAATTGTGTTGTTACGTAGCAATTCCAAGAATAAAAGTGGACAATTTTTTCAGTCTGCTTTGAAAAGCTTGACAATGTGTCGTGGGAACCACAATTTGGATGTACCCTCGGGGTGCACCTCGTGATGACGATTGGAGACAACTCAACCTAAGCTTGTAACAATGAAAGCCTCAGCAAGCACTGGGCAGCGACTCGTTTTCAATCCAAGAATGATGAAAGCAGTCAAACTCTAACAACGTCTGGAGCTCAGCACATGCCCTGTGCTTTGCAAACCCCAGTGCGTGGCTATGATAAACATTGGCGGCATATAAACGCCAGCCAGGTCATGTAGTCACTTATTCTGGCTGCGAGTTGAATAGGCGAAGGCTGCTCGTGTATTTTTTTGCATGTAGGAAGAAATTAATGCACGTTATCAACGTCATTATTTCTTAGTATTATTTAATGAAAGAGAAAATCTTTTCTTGGGCCCTTAATATTCCAACAGAGAGCCCACCTGAAACCAAAACGGGTAAAAAAATTGTGAGCCATTTTTTTTTTAAAGCATATGAGATCAGTGCAATACCTGCAAAGCATCTCCAGGTAGTGAGTCGTCCACTAAGCTTGGGTCGTTAATCGGCAGGCCCCCAAGGAATCTATGCAGATCATAAAAGTAGGGCCAGGTCACCTTCCCAGATCCAGTTGTCTGGTTTTTTTTCTTCGTCCTGTAAACAAGAAATATATATATATATATATAAAAAGTGTTCCTACGTATTAAGCAACTGAATGGGGCTTGCTGTCACCTGGGTACAATATTTCACCTGCATTTCCTTTTTTCCACTGTGAATCCAGCCATACACAAACGTGGACCGAAATATTTTGTGGAAAATTCAGTCTTAACCAAGGGGGTTGGCAATGTATTTTGGCTGCAACTAGAATTGGAACAGGTGAACCAAGAGCCCTTGTCACGTTCTGTGAATTGCCTTTTTTGTGTGTGTGTGTGTTGTTTCAGGGATTGTCAATGCAAATAGTAAAAAAACGTTATTTCTCAGGGCCTGCGTGCCAAACCCACGAAGGACATATGATACATCCAAGAGGAGGACTAAAAGCTGGGGATCTGTTGAGGTGAAGGCAAGAGCCTTCCGCGTCCAATGGTTGACACCTCGGCCGAGATTTTAACCCACCACTGGGGACCCATAGGTCAGCATTTTGCCTCGTAGACACTGAGGCGACACACTCGAACATTACCGCTAAATTAGGTCGTGCTGATCAAAACGATTAATTTACTTACTATTTGTCGCAGCGACATCAAATACCGCATTTCGTCAAGTTTAAGCTCGGCGAGCGGGCTCCGAGAGTCGGCGAGAGGGCACAGGTGAGCAGCAACCTCAAAACTGGCTTACCTGTATGTCTGGTTGAGGTTGTCGATCTTATCGCTCACTTGTTTCCGTGTCTTGTCGATGGACAGCCTCTCCAGACCGAGGCGTATGGTCTCGTAAACTCCGGCGTTCCTCCTTTGACGCCGGAGTTCGCCGATGTTGTCCTCCCAGAGTCGGATTAGTGACCATGTTTCCGCCTCGGACCAGTGAACTCGAGGGCCTTTCCCACTGGTGCCGCTAGTGCTTGCACCCAAGTTCACTGGTCCACCAGGCGAAATCATGGTCACAAAAATGCTCTGGGCAGGCGAAGCGGACGACTCCTCGTCGCTACTCGGAGCACGAAAAGCTGGTACAGCCGCCATTGCGTTCGTGCCACCGCTGCTGCCCGCTATCGCGAGTATAAATTTGGTACTACCATCTTTCATCAGGTTTGTGCTCACGTTTACTTTATAATTTTTGCCTTGCAAATATTCTTTTATTAAAGTGCAATAAACGAAGCAGAAGCGTATATGCTAGACTTTTTTTATTGGAGTTCCTGGGTCCGAGGCTACTCCCTGTAGCTGTAAAGGGAGGTCTGCGAGCTCCGTTTATTCTTAAGGCTCCTTTAGCGAAAGGGACCTTTGTGCGCCGTGTGATTACGAACTCCATCTCCCTTTAGAATAGGGGCCTATGCTAAAGGTACCTTTATACCGCACGTGTGAATGGGGTATAAGTGTCCCCCCAATTTTTATTTGTCCTAGTCTCAGGTTTTCTTTCAATGATGTTTCCTAGCCAGCTCGCTCGCGTACTTTCCCTCCTTACAGTTATGCAGCTGGATGTACAGTCTCCCGCAATATGAAGGACCCATTCGACCAGGCAGTTTGAGGCTGTTCAGGATTTGCCTATGCCTGGACCATATTTCTTGACGGGAGAGAATGAAATAAACTTTTATCTTTCTTGTCGCCCAAAATAAAGTGCGCCTGGCCAGTGCGGAATAAGTGCCGCCCCATAAATTGCATCTCCGGATGGGTCCTTCGTATTGCGAGTGACTGTACACGCACTTAGCGCGGGTGTACGGACTAGGGCGCAGCGCGACATGAGAAATGTCGCGCTCCGTCGGTACTTCGATGGGGTCTGGACTAGCTCATTTGGCGGCATATGTATAGTCGTCTGGTGGAGATATCAGTCAATCCTGTGACACAGTCTTTACTTTGTAAAACATGAAACATCGTCTCCCCACCCGGGTTCTTCCTCACCTTCTACAGATAATTGATTCGGCATTGTGATACACAACCGCCACCGAATGCAAAAAAAACTCGGATAGATAAAATAAGATGTCCATATTATTGTTTGAGTCTTGGCGGAACCTTAGAAAAAAAGAACTGGGTGCGAACTCCCGAGAGTCCTGAAGTATATCATTGCCTGAGGGCCCAGGATTTTTGAGGGTAGTCGAATTTCCCGGGCCTTGTGTAATAAGAGATACTGAAAATTGCCTAATTTGGCATGGAACTACTTCAGGTCATGCAGTTAGTTCACGCCAGATAGTCAGATTTATAAAGAGCGAAATAATTAAGAGCTCACTAAAACAGCATAGATGACATATAAGAATACTCTCCCAGACTAGCGTCATGTAACCATAGCGGAGACTGGACCTCCTCAGGCAATTTTGTGCTTTTCTGAACCAGGCGCAGCTGCCCCAGGGACATTCGGGCTTAAATCTCCAGAGCGAAAAGACGCGGTTTTCGGTGCCAGGGACGGGAATTGAGAAAAATACAGAAAAATAATTATTATAAACATCAAAATGCTGTCCTCGAATATGATAATAGACATACCCAGCTACATTCTGAACGCAAATTCGATATTCCCAGGCAATTTTTGTGGCTTCCTCAGCCGGGCGGAACTGCCAAAAAAGCGCTGGGACTTAGTTTCCATAGCGAAAAGACGCAGTTTTCGGTGCCAGGGACGGGAATTGAGAAAAATACAGAAAAATAATTATTATAAGTATCAAAATGCTTCTCTCGAATATGATACTAGACACACTCAGCTACATTCTAAACGAAAATTCGATATTCTCAGGCGATTTTTGTGGCTTCCTGAGTCGGGCCGAACTGTCAAAACAAACGTTGAAACTTAGTCTCCAGAGCGAAAAGACGCGGTTTTCGGTGCCAGGGACGAGAATTGAGAAGAATACAGAAAACTAATTCTTATAAATATCAAAATGCTCTCCTCGAATATGATACTAGACATACCAAGCCGCATTCTAAACGAAAATTCGATATTCTCAGGCGAGTTTAGTGGCTTCCTGAGCCGGGCGGAACTGCCAAAAAAAAACGTTGCGACTTAGTCTCCAGAGCGAAAAGACGCGGTTTTCGGTGTCAGGGATGGGAATTTAGAAAAATACTGAAAAATAATTGTTATAAATATCAAAATGCTCTCCTGGAATATGATACTAGACATACCCCACTACATTCTAAACGAGAATTCGATATTCTCAGGCGATTTTCGTGGCTTCCTGAGCCGGGCGGAACTGCCAAGACAAACTTTGGGACTTAGTCTCCAGAGCGAAAAGACGCGGTTTTCGGTGCCAGGGACGGGAATTGAGAAAAATACGGAAAATGATTATTATAAATATCAAAATGCTCTCCTCGAATATGATACTAGACATACCCCACTACATTCTAAACGAGAATTCGATATTCTCAGGCGATTTTCGTGGCTTCCTGAGCCGGGCGGAACTGCCAAAAAAAACGTTGGGACTTAGTCTCCAGAGGGAAAGACGCGGTTTTCGGTGGCAGGGACGGGAATTGAGAAAAATACAGAAAAATAATTCTTATAAATATCAAAATGCTCTCCTCGAATATGATACTAGACATACCCAGCTACATTCTAAACGAATATTCAATATTCTCAGGCGATTTCTGTGGCTTCCTGAGCCAGGCGGAATAGCCATAAAACGTTCGGACATACTCTCCACAGCGATGAGACGCTTTTTTGTGCAAGTGATCAGATAAAAAAAAACTAAAAAATAATTATTACTATTATCAAAACACCCTCCTGGAATACGCTACTAGACATACCGAGATACGTGAAAGATATAAATTAAATCTCCTTATCAATTTTTGTGGCTTCCTCAGCCAGGGGCAACTGGGCGGAAAAATGTTCTGGCATAGTTCCCAGAGCGACAGATGCGATTTTTTTGTGGGAGGGGCCAGATATAAAAAAATTGCAGGAAAATAATATTAATGAATATTAAAAATCTTTGCCGGAGAATGATAGTCAACATGCCCAGCTACATGCCACGTGGAAATTTTACCTCCTCATGCAATTTCTTCTAATTTCTTGACCTTATGAAAAAAGCACTGTATAATTTAGTCGGCAAAAAGACGACAAGTAGCCTAACTCGCACCTTTTGCCAACTGCTTTGCCTTGTAAAACTCCAGAAGCTTTCTTGAGATTATAAATGCGAACTAGGGTGCCTTCATCTCCGCTTTAATCGGGGTGATGACATCTTTTGTGGCACCCGATGCCGACAGCACATGCTCACAACGGGAATACAAAGAAATACCTTGAAAAAAATGGTGCCGTAGCACAAGTAAAGCGCGCTCCTACCAAAGAATAAAAAGCACTGCGCCCGTATGAGAAATATTGCACCATTGTTGGTGACATGGTCACGTGACGATAATTTACGGAGGTCACGTGACCATCCTTCGTTGCGCCACATTAACCACGTAACCACAGTGAAAGAGTTGGCCAACGGAGGACACCAGGTCATGTGACCAAGATGCGTGGGGTCATAAGAACACAGTCCGTGGAGTCACGGGAGCATAACGCGCGGGGCGGGGGGGGGGGGGGGGGGTTCCTCTCCGCCAGGTCTCCACGCGGGAAATGATATCGCATTTAAGCCTCACAGGTTGTGCAATTGTCCACGCTGACAGCAAACTTTTTGCCGATCACGAGCGAGTGCGGTTCTTCTTGGTGGGCAGCGAACGGAACCCCCCCCCCCCCCCCGCCCCCCTCCCACCACCCGAAAAGTACAGAGGAAGCACCTAGAGCTCCCAGAAGTGTGTGAGTCAGAAATTGTGCAAAGTCGTCGATTTCTTTACTAAGATTTGGGCAAGGTACAGGAATCGCAAAATCTCTTATTGGTCCGTAATTGCTATCGACATGTATGGCACTAAAATGAATTCATTTGTCCTTCAAAAAGAAGGATCTTGCTACCATGGTGCAATCATCAGGAATATATATGTCATTCGTTAAAATAGTAAAGATTTGCGAAATATTTTGGGCGTGAGATCTCTGCTGACCCAATTATGTTTTAACGCTATTGCCAGCCCTCGGTTATTAGAGAGCTTTAGACCTATATAACTCGAAATGGAGCGTGAATTTCAAAATGCTCTCCAGGAATCAATTAAAGCTAAGATTAATAAAGCGATCGCATTTGACTTCAACCTCCTGTGGCGACAAGCTTTTCTTCCTGGGAGCTGAATGTCATGGCTTCGTTTTCAATGGGAGTCTATGGGATTCGGTTTGTTGATTCGGGAAGGAAATATAATGATTGTGAGGCACTGAAATTCTTCAAATAAGCGGGCTATTAGGTCAATATTATGGCCCCTCGAGTGCAATTAAATTTGTGGAGTTTTAACTGAATTACAAAAATAAAACTTTTTTGCCCATTGAGTTACGCTGGGGCGCTGACGTCCCTGCCGAGAGATGGCGTAAGTTGCGAGCGGCGGCATGTCCCGGATTCTTGGGGTTGAGTCCTAAGTATGAGAACTTCAAAATATTTATTTTTAGGATACCTTGAGCAATACAAGCTATTTCTTAGCATTGAGGAAACGAAGGCGTTTAAAACTTAGATGACAGTCACATTAACGGTTAATTATAGGGAGAATGACTCATACCACAATGTTGGACTGCTTCAATGTCTCGTTAGGCCGGCATGAATGCAAATTCGACCATCCTCACCAGTTTATTTAGACTGGTTCAATTCTCGTATGACTGATTTGAATGCCTTGTACTATCCTGACCACGTTAATTCCTCGTTGGGCCAGTTCGACCAGTCTGACCATTTTAATACCCATTTTGACAGTTTAAATTTTTGACTGTTTCTTGTCAATTAGTTCCAGAACGCTTCTCGTTCTGACTTAGGAACAAGTAGTATGCGACCGCTTCTGCGCACGGACGTTTATATCGTTCATAATTCACCTTCAATTCGCTGTTTCGAACGAGAGTTTCGGGTTGCTTATGACTAAACCTTTTCGTTGTACATCTCATCAAAGTTAAACTCAAGCAGCGCGACAACAGTGACGTCACTGCCTACGGAACAAGACCTACTGTTATTTATTTTATTTATTTATTCATTTGGCGGTACTGCCAGCATTCTGCAGAACGCCCAGGCAGGAGGTGTACAAAACAATATTAAAAAACAAGCGGAAACAGGACAAACAAACAGACAGAACCACTACTCAACCAAGTGCGAGAATAGGGCTTCAGTAAAAGTATCTGATGATCTCAAATTTACAAAACTTTCAGGAAGCTTATTCCACTCACACGTTGTTCTAGGGAAAAAAAGATGCTTTAAACAAAGTGGTTCGACATAATGGTTCGACAAGTGTTAATTGGTGTTTGCCTCTCGTGGGCCTT